TCTTCAGGATGGATAGGTTTGTTCTCTTTGCAGTCCAGGGGGTCTCCTCCAGCACCACAATTCAAAAGCATTATTTTTTGGCGGTCAGCCTTCTTTATGGTCCCTCTCTCACTTCCTACATCACTACAGGAAAAACCATAGCTTTGGCTATGTGGACTTTTGTTGGCAATGTCTCTGCTTTTTAGATGGTTTCTAGGTTTGTCATCGTTTTTCTCCCAAGAAGTGTAGGCATCTTTTAATTTTGTGGCTGTTGTCACCATCTTCCTTAACACAGCAAAATTACCTCTCTAAATGTGCATACAGACAAGTATTGCAAGAAAATAATAAATAAGGTTTGGTCACACCTTTCTGTAATAAAAGTGTGCCTGTTCCTTTATCACAGAAAGCATGGCATGGAGATAAAGAAACAAAAACATTGAATAGAACTCCATTCAACATAAGGGTGTTTCACTTTGGTTAATAGAAGAGTTTAAGATACTGTCTCTAGCAATACATTTATTGGAATGCATAGAAAAGTATACATATTCATAATCAGTTGTTCTATACTGAAGTGAGGTCAACATAGCAACAAAGATTTTCATCTGTAGATTATTGAATCTTCTGCTGTCTCTTAAGCTGCCAATATTAACTAGTGAGCATATACTCTTACCAAACCATCCTTACACTCCTTTTATGAAGCACAAATAAGGCCTATTCAACAGGAACCTATCCAAAACAACCACACTGAAAATATGCTTTGTTGGCTTTATTCTCAAAGTGTATCAATATGCCTTAATAGAATTTGTCCTGCATGTGCATTTCTGCAGTGGGGAAAAAATGGTAAATTACCAAGCACCCTCTAGTGCAAATTAGGATATGCATACAAGTATTTAGGATTCATTACTATTACCAACTCTTTTGTTAAAGGATGACCCTCTAGAATAACTCATCATGTATTTTGCATTTATATTTAAGGTACCAAAACTGAAAGAGCAACATCTTGCAGCAGAAGTTCTCTGCACTAGACTCATGCTAAGCAACTGTGGCCAGAATCCGACTGGTGATTGATGCTCACTAAAGTAAAACTGTATAATTCACTGTGGCAAACTGCCGTCAACAACTGAGGCACTGGTTTCATTACTAGGCATATGCCTGTTGCACAGCTGGCACCTGCCTTGCGATGTAACTATTGTCTTGTTTGTTAGTGTCAATTCACTGTGATGAGTTACAAAATGGCTTTGGACCTGGGTATGTCAAGGAGCACTATATAATCCTGCCTGGTCACTAAGATCTGCTGGGGAGGCCCTCCTTTGCACCCCATCATTGAGAACACTTCATTATATGGAGACCTGGGTGAAGACACTGTCTGCCATAGAAACCCAACTGTGGAATGCCCTCCCTTCGAAGGCCCAGTTGACACTGACATTTGCATCGCTTTGGTGCCAAGTCAAGATATGATTATTTATTAGAGCCTTTGGGGATTGATGATCATGGCCTGCACAGGTTTTAGTGCTGTTTTTAATGTTTGACTGTTTTTCATTTTGTGTTGTTTGATTTTTAAATAGTTCTAAATATGTTTAGAATTATTTTATATACTTTTGTAACCTGAGATCCTATCTTGACGGTACATATATTACAATACAGTACACTGTAAATGCAATGGGTTGTATGTATAAATACAGTTAGGTCCAGAAATAATTGGGCACTGAGACAAGTTTTGTTACTTCGGCTGTTTACCAAAATAAATTCAAGTTACAGTTAAATAATGAACATGGGCTTAAAATGCAGTCTCTCAGCTTTAATTTGAGGGTATTCACATCCAAATGTGAAGGGTTTAGGAATTACAGTTCTTTAATATGTAGCTCCCTCTTTTCAAGGGACCAAAAGTAATTGGACAATTGACTCAAAAGCTGTTTCATGGACAGGTCTAGGCTATTCCTTCGTTATTTCGTAATCAATTGAGCAGGTAAAATGTCTGGAGTTGATTCCAGGTGTGGCATTTGCATTTGGAAGCTGTTGCTGTGATCCCACAACATGGGAGTTCTCAATGCAAGTGAAACTGGTCATCCTTAGGCTATCAGAGAGATAGCAGGAACATTGGAAGTGGCCAAATGAAGAATTTGGTACATTTTGAGAAAAAAAGAACACCCTGGTGAACTTCGTAATACAAAAAAATCCTGGATGTCCACAGAAGACAACAGTGTTGGATGATCATAGGATCCTTTCTATGGTAAAGAACAACCCCTTCACAACTTCCAACCAAGTGAAGAACACTCTCCAGAAGGTAGGCATATCATTATCTGAGTCATTTGTTCTTCACAAGAACAAATACAGAGGTTCACCACAAGATGCAAATCATTCATGAGCTTCAGGAATAGAAAGGCCAGATTACACTTTGCCAAAAAAAAATCTTTAAAAGCCAGCCCAGTTCTGGAACAGCATTCTTTGGACAGATGAAACTAAGATCAACCTGTATCAGAATGATGGGAAGAAGAAAGTATGGCGAAAGCTTGGAACAGCTCATGATCCAATATATACTACATCATCTGTAAAACATTGGAGGCAATGAGATGGCACGGGCATATATGGCTTCCAATGGTACTGGGTCACTAATGTATATTGATGACGTGACAGAAGACAGGAGCAGCCGGATGAATTCTGAAGAGCCTCGTGGCGCAGTGGTTAAAACGCTCTATTGCAGCTAAAACTGTGCTCGCGACCTGGGGTTCAAATCCCAGGTAGCCGGCTCAAGGTTGACTCAGCCTTCCATCCTTCCGAGGTCGGTAAAATGAGTACCCAGCTTGCTGGGGGGGCAATGTGTAGCCTGTATAATTAAAAAAATTGTAAACTGCCCGGAGAGTGCTCGTAGCGCTATGGGGTGGTATATAAGTCAAAAAAAAAAGTATAGGGATATATTGTCTGCTCAGATTCAACCAAATTCAGTGAAGTTGATTAGATGTAGACGACACTTCACTTTAGAGATGGATAATGACCCAAAACATACTGCAAAAGCAACTGAGAAGGTTTTTTAAGGCAAAGAAGTGGAATACCATTTTTATCCATGTATAGGACCCTATTTTTCCTAAAATCAATGCACTAAAAATTGAGGGGTGTCTTATACATGAAAGTAAGCTGAGGAGAGAACAAAACTGCCCGTACCTTGCCTCTATAAACAGGCTTCCTTCAATCACAAGGCTTAGCTTCCTCCAATCAAGAGCCTTATGGAACTGATGTCAGCTGATGCTGAACAAACCAATTGGAACATACCTCGTTGGAGGTGGAGCCTGTAGGCTCAGATTCAACTGGGACTCGTGATGTCCGAGCTTTCTGAGCCCAGAGGCTGAATACTCAAAGCTAAGCTAAGATTTCTTAATTTGGGGTTTAGAAAAGGGGGTGTCTTATAAATGGAAAAATACGGTATTCTGCAATAGCTGAATCAATCACGTGATCTCAACCCAATCAAGCATGACCTTCACTTGCTGAATACAACATTTAAGGCAGAAAGATCCATGGACAAACTACAACTGAGGAAAGCCTTCAGTAAAGGCCTGGCAAAGCATCATGAAAGACGAAACACAGTGTTTGCTGATGTCCATGTGTTCCAGACTTCAAGCAGCCATTGCTTGGGGTTCAAATGTAATTGGGCCAATTAACACAATCATAAATAAAATGTTCATTTTTAATGATTTCTCAATAATCCTTTGCAGGCAATGACTGCTTGAAATCTGGAAATCCTGAAATACTGAAGTAGAACTGTAATGAACCAGCACTGCAGATCAATAGTTTAATTAAACAAGGAGGGAGTTGTCTATATATATCAAATTGTTGTACCATGAAAAAGTTATTCTGACCTATAATCTAAGCTGTGCTTTAGCTCACTGAAATGAAAAACAAAACATGATTGTATTTCACATACCTTTTGAGGTTTGGTTTCCTCTATTCCAGTAAATAAGAAGAAATGAAGATATATTTGCTGTATTTATAACACCAACTTGGGCCCCCAGACATATAAGACACCATCTTTATAAACATTCAAGTGGAGGGAAGCATGTTTTATTGGGCTCCTCAGTATTTTTACAAAATGAAAGTCCTCATATTTAATTCTTAGCAGATATCATGCATTTTAAGAATTCAGAGTGTTTTACATATGTTATCTCAAGGAACCTTACAACAGCCCTGTAAGGTAGGCCAATATGCCATATTACAGATGACAAGCTAAATGTGAAGAACAGTGGCTTGCCTAAGATTTCTTTAAAAAATTTGTGGATGACATGGAATTTGAACTGGGTATATTTTAAATTCACTTAGCCTCCTTGCTACACAATAAAATGTCTTTAGGCATGGGAATTCAGGGGGAAGAAATGATAAAAATAGATTAAACAATGCTTCACTTCATTAAGAAAGTTTGTGTTGTCCTTTCTTGAAGTATAATTGAACAAGAATTTTATCCACTAAAAATATTATTTCACCAGTCTTGTGTCTCTCATCCTGCGTGATCAACATTGCTATTATATAAAATTAAAAAGTCATCAAGAGGATTTGCACCAGAGGAGCAAAAATCAATTGATTAGTCAGTCTTGGAAGCATTCATCTTCCAAAATGTGCCTATGGTAAAAACATAATGCATTTCCTCCTTTGTGTGTCAGTAGCAGAGAAACCATTCACTCAATTCTTTCTCTCTCTCACGCAGTTTCCCAGAAAAGTTCAACAGCAGAAGAGTTACCTACAAACATATAAACTGAGAAGGGAAAAAAATATATTATACATGGCTGTTTGAAGAAGTTGCCTTGTTATGGTTTTCGAAAGAAAGTATAAAATGTTATGCCAAGTAACTCTAAAGTGCCTGAAATGAGCATTTTTAAATTGATTGTAGCACTCCACACAGTAGTACTGTAAGCAACTCTGCCATCAGCTTGTGAAAGTTGCCTCTTTTGTCCTTCTCCCCCCCCCACCACCTTTTTCCTCCCATAATGGAGCCAATGGAAGATATCGGAGTACATTGCATGTCGTCATTCCGTTACCTTGTATCTATCCAGAGGGTCCTCCTCCTGCAGCTGACTCTCCCGCATCATTTGATACTCTCTCTCATATTTCTTCAGCTTCTTTGTGGGCACCTACAAAGGGGATAAAAATAGTGCTAGTATTACTAAAGCAACACACAGTGCAGGTGGATTGAATGCTACCCCAGCAAACACAAAAAGTAAGAAGTCTGCACATTAATTCACCACTGAACTTCAGTAAATTAATAACACGAACCTGCTAAAGGCTTTCTACTTCGTTCCAGACAATAACATGACCAAACAAGGAAAATGCCACCCTGAAATGGAGGAGTGCTTGATTTATGGGGCAACCCCCTACAACCCAATTCCTGGTTTGAGGTTGTTGTTTTTTTTAAGTTATGTAACATAAAGGAAGTCAAAGAGCAAATAAAAACCTCCCTTTGCTAGCTGCCCACAACCTTATTTCAGCACAATTCACAAGCATGAGGATTTCCAGAAAAAAAAGCCTTGAGATGAAATCATTTTTCATTAGCTGAATTAGCTTTAAGAAAGAAAGAAAAAGAAAGTAATCCAAAATACAACATATTCTTTCTTTTCTTTATATCCATTGTGTTTTTTTTTAAACTCTGGTTAGGAAATTAAGATCCAGTTTTGAAGTAGAGAAGCAGAATATACCAGAATGCCTTCTGTTCCCTCCTTGCTCTTTGCACTTGGGACCCAGCAACTTTCAGGCATGGCAGGTTGCTAGGATACCACTAGACAAGTACATATCTTGTGTTCTCTGATGCTTTACCAGAGCTGTTCTTCCAACAGAAGCGAGACAGGAAATGTGAAGAGAACCACAAGCTGGTGGGGAAACAGCTGCCATGCAAAGAAAGGCAGTTTGAGGAGCTGATTTAATGGGCAATGTTAGAAACGCCAACTACGGAGGGAAGAGCAATAAGTAAGATAATACATTAAAGGGCAATAAAAGACCTTTTTGTATCTTAAATTTTAAAAAATCAGGATTTTGGGCAGTGATTCAAAGTTACTAATTAAGTTTAAGGCACAAATGTAGAAGTGACATAACAGTCTACATTTCCATAACATATCTAATGTCCTCACTGAAAGAGTGATATTGTTATTACGGGCTCCCGTAATACCCTGTCAGTTGTCACAGTGCACTAGGCTCAAAGTTACAGAAATAAAAGGTTTATTCATAGAAGAAAAAAAAACAAAGTGAAATTTTAATGGTGCACAATAGGCGTATTCATCCTTTTATTAAGCTACAAGAAAACTAATCTGGAGAATCACTATGGTAGAAGGATACAGAAGAAAAATTAAATAATGTCTTCTGGGAGGGTTATCTAATCATAAAGGCAAAATCCCTACAGGCAAATCCAATATTAAGGCCAGTTCATGCATCAATGTAGTGGGGAGGCTGCTTTTGTCCCACCCTGTTTTAGCTATGCAGGAGTTACTTCATTAATCCCACTGAAGTGGTTTCAACACCTAAGCATTATGAGAACAGTACTGAAAGGCAACATTTCCTTGGCGAAAAAAATCACATGATTTAGAGCAGTGGTTCTTAACGTGGGCAATAATGCCCCCCAGGGGGCGATTTCATTTTTCAGGGAGGCAGTAGAATGAAAAGGGGCGGTGTGGGGGCGAAAGAACAGAAGGTGGCGGTAGGGGGGCGCTGGAGTGAGCCAAACCTGTGAAGACGACTGCAGCCACGGTGCTGGCAGTAGATCCAGTGCTGCTGCTGCCGCCAGATGATCCAGCTCTTTCTACCTGCCACGTCTCGCCTTTCTCCTTTAGGGGAGCACTGAGGGTGGATTGGGGGGAAGGAAAGGGCCTCTTGGGTCCTCATCCTCGCCCCGGGAAGCGCTGCCTCGCACCCGGGTGGGGGGGAGGCTAGCTAGGTAGGTAGGTAGATAGGTAAGATATCATCACCTCAGGGAGAGGGGCGATGATAACTTCCTCAATGGCTCAAGGGCGCATTTCTTTCAAAAAGGTTAAAAACCACTGATTTAGAGTATCTGCTTAGCTCCTATGTCAACCAGCACAATATGAGAGACAGTAAAAGATGTCAGAGGAAAAGGCCACTGTACCACCACAAAATGCATCCCTTATCCATTACCACCTAGCAGTCAAATACATGTTAGCAAAAGTGACAAAGTCATTAGTAATTAAAGCTGTCATTCCATCACTATTTCAAAATAATTACTGCATTATAGCAATACAACACAATATAATCCTTTCATTTAAGAAATATACTATTACTTTATCATGATTTGTAGCCAAAATATTTTTAAAGATCCATAGAAACCGAACTGCAAAATTAAATGGAGACTACTACAAAGGTTATACTGAATGTTTTTTGACTAATGATAGATTCACCTGCTAGGTTATGCTTGCTTTTAAAGATAAAACAAAACACCTGAAGTTTTTGCAGTAATGAAAAGTAAGGAAGCTCCACTGAGAATACATAGGAAGATCAAGAAATGGATTATTGTTTACCATTGCCACCTCACCAAATGTCCCTGATTCAGCAATGGTGATTCCACAATTAATGCCCTGCCCATCAGCAGCCTGCTACTAACACCATACAGTATTGGCCCTGTTACTTCTCTGCAGCAAGACTAGCTCTGTTAGATCATTCATCCACACTGCAAGCACTGGGGACATAGTCTCTGAATTGCATCCTTTCTTCCTAGTCTCTTCATTTCCTATATATTGGAAGAGGAACCACTCTACCTGTGCAACAATTTAGAATGCTACTACACAGATTCTGGGTATTGTGGATATAACAGAGAGGGCAATGCCTAACAGTACAGTCTCTTTTCTCCCCCATAGATAGATAGAGAAGGAGGGAGGGAAGAAAGAAAGAAAGACGTCAGTAATTGCTTAATTCTCAAAATGTAACTCACTAAGTTTACAGTGCAATGCTGCCCCTAAGTATTTAGGGGTAATCTGGGTCAAACCCTGAGCTATAAAACACAGTATCAAAACACCAAACAGAAAGTTCCCACTAGAAATAACATGCTTACGCAATGGGATAGGTCAGATTGGGGTGCACACCCACAAACAGCTTTGTCCCTATACAGTAAAACAGTGGTCCCCAACCTTTTTCAGACTGCGGACCGGTTGGGGGGGGTGCGGGCTCTGTGTGCGGACCGGTTGGGGGCATTCAAAGCCAGGCTCGCCCAAGAGGTGGTCATGTCGTGCTTGCGCGACACACCCACCTGCAAGCTCAACACGCCCCCCGTGTGTGCAGGGGGGGTGAGGTCTGTGTCCGCGGCCCAGTTACGGCAGTCCCATGGACCGGCACCGGGCCGCGGACCGGGGGTTGATGATCCCTGCAGTAAAATATGCTAGTGCCATATGGTATAAATCAGGACATACCAAACAAGTAGATGTAACTCTTAATGAATCATGCAGGATTATTACTGGCTGCTTGAAACTTACCTCACGAAAGAAGTCTATTATTTGGTTGGCATTGCTCCTCCAGAAGTATATGGAAATGAACAAAATAAGGTAATACAGCACTAAACCCATTCACTACATGGAGACCAACCCCCTAGACCAGTGGTCCCCAACTTTTTTGCCTCCGTGGACTGGTTGGGCATGCAGGGGGGGCATCTGTGTATGCATGGGAGGGGCCGTGCGTGCATGGGAGGGGCAGTGCATGTGCGAGGGGCAGGAGATTTGTCTCTGTGGCCTGGTCCTGGCAAGGGACTCCTGCCCTAGACGATAGCTAAAATCGAGAAAAAGTTTTCTGCACACCTCTCAAGCTCTAAAAAGTAAATCAAAAGAGACTGAGCTAAACCTATAGAAAACCAAAACACCTTACTGAATGGATATGTCTCCCCCCAGGACAAGATTGTGGCTGGAATACAGTGGTGCCTCGCTTTACGGCGATAATCTGTTCCAGGAAAATCACCGTTAAGTGAAAACATTGTAAAGCGGAAAAAAACCATTGAAACGCATTGAAACCCCTTCAATGCGTTCCAATGGGGTCAAAACTCACCAGCCAGCAAAGATCCTCCATAGGGCAGCAATTTTTGCTGCCTGTTTTGCGAGGAATCCATCCCACAAAACAGCGGGGAGCCACTTTGTTTACCCGGTGGCCATTTTGAAACCGCAATCAGCTGTTTTAAAAACGCCATTTTGTGAAGAATCGGTTCCTGAAGCAGGGAAACGATCATCGCAAAGTGAAAAAAACCCATTTAGATCATCGTTTTAAAGATCGTCGTAATGCGGTTTTGTCGTAATGCAGGGCAATCGTAAAGTGAGGCACGACTGTAATAGACTTTGAAGTGAAGTAGGAAGATCAAAGAATAATCAAGCAAAATGAGGCTACTTGGATACAGGACAAATTTTCTGTGACTGGAGAAATTCAATCAATGCTACACTTACATGCATAGATAACATTACTGAAGTAACCCACTTCTGGACAAAAATTGTCTAATTATTTTAACATTTTAAATATGTTTAAGCTTTATATTTCATATACTGTACGTCAATTTAAAACTGTAGTTTTAAATTGTGCAATGTCTTGATATGACTAAAGAAGAAAGGAAAAAACTTCATTAGGTGAGTTATCTCTGAGCACACTTGGGATAATCACAGTCTGTCAATCTTCACTACCTCACAGAGATATTGTGAGGATAAAAGAGGAAAGAGGAGAATCATATATGTCATTTGAGCTCATGGAGGAAAGGTGGGATAGATATAACATAAATTAAAAAAATGCAACTAAATATATCTATTAGGACAGCAATAAGGAGGCAACCTGATGCAATTATTTATGATTGCATCAGGTAGAGAGTGCTTGAAGCACTATGGGGTGGTATATAAGGAGCTTTGGTTTTGTGCAGCAGTTGAACTGACACTTTCAAAGGAGTAGGTATGAGAAGAGAGACATAAGGTCTTGTCTTGAAGATATTGCCAGAGAATAAAAAATCTCCAGCTCTTTGCGACTTACTTAACGGTGTACGATTAGCGATTACAAACAGTAACAAAACGCTCCCATGTATTCTCACCTCCTAACTGGAGTGTTCCTGGTCAGGATTCCATTCACCCAGCCATATCCTTTTCCAGCATGTTATCAGACATTCTATGCCATGCCT